AAACTTAATAATCCCATTGCAGGATGGGGCAAGCAGGAGAAACCTTTTCCCAAGGATCAATGGGTCGTACCAGAATTTGTTCTGGCCCTGTTGTTTCTGTTTGTCAAAGCCTTGTTGATCCTGGGCATGCAGCAAACTTGACAGCAGTGACAAGGTGCAGGAGTCCTGATTTCTTATTTGCCTGCTTGCAGGTGGAAGCTATTTATCTTTAAAGTGCTTCTTGCCATCTGAAGCCAGACTCTGCATCAGGGAAATGTTAGCTTGTTTTGACATGCAGCTGAGCATTGCTTGTTTTAAAAAGGAGTGTTTTATCTGTCAGGCTCTAAAATCATGATCAATAGTGAAGTTAAAAACAATAAATCCAAGCCAATGTAATCAAGGAGGAGAACAAAGACCTCTACAGTGGGAAGAAAAGCACAAGTGGACATGGGGTTGTTTCACTGCCTGATTTCTGAGCTGCAGTCTGGTGTCTTCCAGACCTGAAGCACCACTGCCAGAGAGCTTCTCCCTGCAGGGAATGGAAGTGGATTGGAGGAGAGCTAACAATGTCTGACCTTCTATTTTTCCCAGGATGCTGGAAGACCTGTCAAGCCCAAGGAGGACCCAATGGATGACTATCAAGATCAGGAGCAAGAAATTGTATGACACCAAGGTTTCCCTTCTTTGCTTCTCTAGTGAAATTGTTACCTGAGTGTGCTGGTAGCCAGGGGTTGAACACAACTCAGCTTTTCGGGAAGCAGATGTGAGCACTGCTTGCAGTTTTGTTTCTGCTCAATGGGGTGAATCTCCAGAACAAACCTGGATTCCACCCACATACCTATGGCTTCCAACAGCTCCGTGTCTTCCTTGTGTTAGGGACCCCAGAGAAGGGGAGCTCTCCTTGTCCTTTGTAAGAACCAGGCTTGTGCACTATGTGGACCTAAAGGTGCCTAGAGATGCTGTGCTGCCTGCTGCACATCGTGGGTGGAATTTGTTAGGCTAGTTTTAGAGTGATGGGGGTAGGGTATCTTCTCATGCAACAGGCCAAGGTGTTAAAATTGCACTGCAGTGCTAGTTTATTCAGTGTTCATTAAATGAACGTGGCTTGTTAATTCTACTTTTTGGTGCATTGCCAGTGTTACCTAAAGGTCCCCTGCAGAGCTGAATTCCTCCCTGTTTTCCTGGGTTTCCCAAGCTGGGCTGCTATGGCAGAACAGCTTTATTCAGAAGCAGCATGATGCTGTCTGTTAGGGTCTCTTTTCCAGCTGGACCTTGCTGATTTTCCTTCCTGGCTGTTCTCTTTGCACCCAGGAGGACCATGGCGGTGAGGTGGATGACAATGATGACCTCGAACTTGTCCAAGAGCAGAAGAACCATGCAGGCATCCAGGGAGCTGATGGCAAGAAGGATGACTACTACTGAGAGATGCTGAAGATGGATGCAGTGGGAATGAGAGGAGAGGAACTCCTCCCAGGAACTGGATGCTGTACTGTGCACAGCCCAGAACAAAGGCAGGAGGAGATGGCTGCCTTGGCAGGCACTGAGCATGGTGTTTGCAGGTATGCATCATATCTACGTGCGTGGGGCCACTGCCGCCTCTCTGGTGCATGGCATGGAAGTGCCCTCAGACTGTCTGAATGACTTTATTCTGCTGCTTCTAAAAGAAGCACCTGTTGATTGATCAAGTTCTTGACCCTCTTGTTTTCCTCATCCATCTCCTAGATTGAGAGTTGGTTGTTTTTTTTGCTGGCTGGGCAGGGGAGGGGTGCAGGACTACAAAAGGAGGGTGTCTGAGCTGATCCCTGGAGTTAATCAACTGATGGCTAATACAAAGGAATCTGTCTTATAAAATATTTTTCAGTAGTGTTTCTTTAAAACATCCTTTGCTCCCATCAGGGCAGGGTGGAGAGGAATTGTCTGGAGCAGTGTCAGAGTGATGGCTGGCCACGAGCACCAGCAGAAAGTACCACATGCCAGCTAACACAGTGTGTATGTGCATACGAAGGAGGAGATCCTCCTCCTAGCACAGGGATCCTTCCCTGTCGCCCCTTCTGCAGTTCTCTTTTCCGTGGCTGCCCTGCTGGGGTGGAAGAAGCACTTGATGGCACAGTCCCTGTGTTTGCCTGCACAGTCCTTTTGCTTCATACAGCATTTTGATGGTGTGGATACCCCCGAGTGGGACACCAACACGCAGCCAACAGCTTGTGGGTGAGCATCATGATAAAGCTCACAGGAGAGATCTTTGCTCCCTGTTTGCATTGGAATTTAAAGCCTTGTTTTGAGGAGTGTTTTGTGATACTTCCAGACAGTTGGGAAAACAACATTTATGTCCCACTGAATTTGGTCTTTTTCATTCAGGCAATGTTTTTTTTGTTTTTTTCCTCTTACAGTGCTTCTAATGGAGCTTGAAATGAACATGTCAGGGTTTTCTGGTTGCTCTGTTCTTATATTACTTGCTTTTTTACCAGTGCAATCTGAGCAAGTCAAACTCTGGGGTAATCTGGAGTGGTTCATGTGCTTGGGCTCTGCTTGTGTTACATGGAAGCAAGGAGAACTCTGCTTTTCCAGCTGCTGCCCTTTCCCCAGAGCTGCAGTCAGGGCAGCAGGGGGTGCTGCTGGCTGTGATGGAACTTTGGGGAAGCATCTTGTTGGGACCTCAAGGACCTGATTGCTGCTTTCTGAAACTGGGAGGGTGTAGCCATGCAGTGACACTAGGAGAACCTCAGTGCAGCAGTTTGCATCTCTGTTCCAAAAGCATGTGAGAAAACAGACCTCCTCATGGGAAGGCATGAGGCTTTTGGTAGGACGTGAGCTGAGAGCTCCTGGCTGCTAAGCTTTTTCTGCACCCACGCCTCACTTAGAAAGCTCACAGACCATTGGAGAAGACCAATGCTGCTGTAGGGGCTTTATGCTCATTGTATGGGTTGGTATCCCAGCTGGAGGCTGTGCAGGGGGTCCAGAAGAAGGTCTGTTAGCCCAGTGCCATAGCTGCTCACGTAACTGAGTTCACTGCAGAGCTGAAATGAGGTGTGAGATATCCAAAGTGACTTGCAATGATGAACACCCTGTTAGTGCTGTATGCTGTCAACCTTGCAATGTGACGCAATGCTGCTCAGCCTCCCCCATCTGCTATAAATAGCACCTTCAGGATGCATTAGCTGGAACTGCTGCTATGTGTGCAGATGCAGCCTCATCAGAAATGCTCCCAGTTCTCAGCTGGGCAGGCAGAATCTCACTGTTTCACAACGGATCAATGACCAACACAATCTGTGGTAAGAATTTGAAGTCTGAGTGCCCAGGCTGCCCCAGTGGGAGCCGTAGTGCAGCTGTGTGCTGAGCTACGTTCACCCCTGCTCCGTGCTTCTCCTAACCCGTGGCTGTCAGTGCAGAGGTTCAGACCTCACTGCAAGTGAATCAAGTGCTGGAAATAGAACCCTGATGGAAGGGAGACCACGTGCTGAGTCAGAGGCTGCAGGAGATAGCAACATTAGGAGGCAAAATCTCTGCTTATGCGTGTCTGGGATGAGTAATCCTCCAAGCTGACTCCGAGGGAACTATGGTAACTCATCCTAAATGTGAAGCTCCCTGCTAGGAGAATGCTTTAGTAACCATATGTTGCTCGCTGCCCTGAGCCGAGAGCAAAGCAGCTCTGCTCTAGGGACTGCCTGCCACAGCTGTGTGCAAGACTAAAATTGGTGCAGTGCTGCATGAGTTGTTAGCTGGGGGTGGTGAGCGCTTCCTTGCCTGGCCTCTAGCAAGTTGCCACCATTTCAGTACAAGTTCAGGGCTTCCTGTAACAGGAGACAACGAACACGGTGGGGGAGAACCAGAAAAGCAGCCAACCTGCAGTGTCAGGTCTGTCTGAAGGTGAAGAAAGCACCACGGCTGTTACTGACTTTGATACGCTGCCTGGGGCTTCACTGCTTAAAGCAAACAACAGTGTTTGCCCAAGTGGTGAACAGTTGAGGCAGTGTCTGAGAAGTCCTGGCTGGCTTCTATTGCAGACTGAGGCATGGAGGAAGGTCTGAGAACAGCTGAGAAAGCAAACAACCAGATGGAGGATTCGCATGAGGTCAGTGCTGGCAGACTGACTAAGCCAAAGCAAATGGTTTTTGTTGGTCTTACATAAAAAAATGATCTTTTGCCTGGAAATGTGGTGCGAGGCCAAAGGATGCAGTGCAGGATAAGGGCTAGTTCACCTGGCACACTTGCTGATTGTTTGATGCTTTGCTCTCTACTTGCCTTTGGATTCCAGCGACGTGATCGAGATGATTTCTGTAAAGAAATGCATTTCCAGGGCTCACATGATGACAAAGTGATTCGGCCACATCCTTAGTCAGATGATGAGAATTGATTGTGCATTCTGTGCCTTTACAAATAAAGGCACAGATTAGGAAAACATATGCCTATCAATTAGTTAAATTGTTAGGCTCATTATTCATTTACATGGCATTTTTAGGGCTTAAAATGTGACTAATGCTTTAATGAAGAGTTTTCTTGAAGGCATCCAATGTAGTTGGAGGAGAAAATGCCCTCAAGGCCTGCATAACGAAGGAGTGAGCTGTCTGCGCCTCCCTGAACCAAGAGCATCTTCCCACTTACATATATGTGTGTGTGTGAATTGTTTAAGAGAATGACACTTGTTTTTAACACGGACTGGTTAGAAACCAAATCCCAGCCCCATCTGTTGGCTCTCTCGACAGAAGAACTCAATGTGTTTCAAATCACGAGCGAGCACCATCGCAGCCTGGTGCCGGATCTAATTGATCACTGGAACAGCGATAGCTCTGGAGTGCCATCTGCTATTAGCAGGGCTCAGGGAGCCAAAGCTGGCGTGGTTTGGCTCCGTGTGTCTCCTGAACACCCGCACGCTTCTCAGGCAGAGCTGCCAGGTCTTCATCTGCCCATCCCAGCCGGAGCTTCCAGGTAAGTTGGCCTCAGCCACTGAGAAGCGCCTTCAGCAGCACAGCACCTCCTCGTGTCTGCCGAGGAGTCCTTTCCATCGCTGTCTTTTTCTGTGCTGCTCTTCATTTTAACAAGAGATTTCCAACAACTTTTGGCAGGGTAGCAGAAAACAAACGTTGAATTTGGCTTTTTTTTTTTTTTAAAAAAAAAAAAGCATAGCAGTCTATGGACTTCACAACCCCAAGCAGCTCACAGAGGAGAACTGTACCAGTGCAGGAGGAAGGCAGAGGTGCTGGACAGCTGTGCTCAACTTAGGCTGTTTGTCTCATCCATGGAAAGCCAAAGGCTGCTCTCTGGCACAACCCAGCCACCTTCCCATTCTGCAGGCTTTTGCCAGAAGATTTAAAGGTGCAGAGTGAGCTGTTCCAAAAAGCTGGAATCTGTGAGGCAGGAAGGGGGGACTGAATGAGCTGCCAGCTGTTTACCTGTTCATTAAAGAACCTGTTCATTAAGGAACGCTTCCCATGCTGTTGGTCACAGCTGGTTGTTAGATAGTTGAGGTTGGTCATTGGGTGAGGACTAAAGGCGAGTTCTAAACACCGTTCTGTACTAACAGCACAAACCATGCTGTCCTCCAGCAGGATTTATGGCTTTCCACAGGCTTTTTCAGTGGGTGAAAATTCCTGTCTTCTGAGCTATTTGAGAGTTCTTAGAACACTGTATAAAACCTGAGCAAAACACAAAGAAAATCTCCCCCCAGTTGCTGGTGTGGAATGAAAGCTGCAAAGTGGGAAAGCGAGGCCTTAATGCAGTTTTTATCATGTTTAAAGACTGCATAAAAACTGTTTAAGAATGTATTTATTCCTTTATTACTTGGAGAACTTTTGTTTCTACATTTAGACAAGTTTATGGTTCCAATATGAATGTTTTGGGTTGCCCAGTGAGCGTCTTGGCAGCGATGTGATGGCTGGGCTGGGGATGTTGTGCTACCATTGGGAAACGGCTTGTACAGGGTGAGCCAAAGAGCCCCTTTCCTTCTGCCTCAGCCTGCTGTGTGCCCCTTCCCACTATTTATCCCTGCTAGCGGCTGTGCCGTGCTGGAGGGGGAAGCCATCATTTCCTCGTGTCCCATCCTTGCTGAGCAATCTCCGAGTTGGAACACAGAACCGATTAAAAAAATAAACCCGAGGAAAAAAAATTAAAGCCAACAAATCCAAACCTGCCCCCCTCCTCTTTCCTCCGAGCCGGGGCAGCCTCCCGGCCCAGCTCCGAGCCCTGCCGCCCCCCGGAGCGCGGCGGCTGGAGATGCCCGCGCTCCCCCCGGCCCCGCCGCTGCCCGGCGGCGAGCGCTCCGCAGCCCAGCGAGAGTTAACGCCGGAGCCGCCTCTCCATTGGCGGCCGGCGCAGCGGCTGCGGAGCCCGCGCTTATAACGGGCGCGCGGGGCGGCCGCAGCCCCTCCGCCGGCACCGCGGCTCGGCTCCATGCGGCGGCGGCCGGCATGCCCCGCCTGCTGCCGGCCCTGCTCGCCCTGCTCTGCTTCGGGCCGCCGCCGCCCGCCCCGAGGGCTCCGCTCGCCGAGGCCGCGGCGCAGCCGGAGCCGGATGAGCCGTGGTGCCCCTACAAGGTGCGGCCCGAGGGCTCGGCGAGCGGGCGGCTGTGCTTCCGCAGACCGGCCCTGGGCTTCCAGTGCGCGGCGCGCTCCTGCCGCGCCCACCGCTCCCCGGGCGGCGCGCTGGTGGCCAACGTGCTGCGCAACGGCAGCGTGCTGCTGCAGTGGGCGCCGCCGCGTCCCGGCAACGGCCTGCGCGGCTTCGCGCTCAACTGCTCCTGGGACGGCACCTACACGCGCTTCCCCTGCGACGGCGTGGAGCTGGGCGCCGCCTGCCGCGACTACCTGCTGCCCGAGGCGCACGGCGGCGTGCGGTACCGCCTCTGCCTGCAGCCCCGCTACGCGCCGCCGCGCCCCGCGCCGCCCGCCCACTGCGTGGAGTTCCGCGTGGAGCCGGCCGCCATGCGGGACATCGTCGTAGCCATGACGGCCGTGGGGGGCTCCATCTGCGTCATGCTCGTCTTCATCTGCCTGCTGGTGGCCTACATCACCGAGAACCTGATGAGCCCCGCCGCGCCGCGCCGCGCCTAGCGCCGCTCCGCTCCTCCTGGCGCCGCTCTGCCCCGCCGTGCGGCCGCCGCTTCGGGGCCGGGGAGCCGCGCGGGGTCGGGGCGGGTTTGCTCAGGGCGTCGTCGGGAGCTTCGGTTGCTGTGGGTTCGTCCTTTCCAGACTTCCAGGAGTTGGGTTGTGGGTTGTTTGGGTTTTTTTTGTCTGTGTGTGTATTTGGAGCTCTTGTCACATAGGGCGGCTTTTCAGCTTGAGCCATACTGATTTCTGAAGTCGTAGGATCTCAGTGGATTAAAAATGAATCGTGGCAAAAATCCACAAGTGCCAGGAAATTTTCCATTTTAGAAGCAAGCGACAGATCCGGCCGAGGGGCTGCTAGAAGGCACTTAAGAACGTGCTTACTTTAAGCTTGTGCTTAAGTCTCATTGCTCCGGATGAGTTGGACTCGATCCTCGTGGATCCCATCCAGCTCGGGATGTTCGATGGCTCTCTGCTTCTAGATGCGTGCATGGTTTTGTTGTTTGTTTTTTCCCTGAGGGGGGAACGCCATTGAAACCTGCGAGGACAGACGCAGAGCAGCCGCCAGCCACACAGCCGTGTGACCCAGAGGCACTGAGATCTTCCATGGGTGCTGCCTCGTGCTCCTCGAGCAGCAGGGTTGTGGCACAGGGTGCCCCAGCAGCATCGTCCCCCTGAGAGCTGCACTAAAAAGAAATAAAACACAGTTTGTAGGAAAATTCCGCCTCGTTGCAGAGCATGAACTGATCTTGAGTCGCTGCTCTCTGAAATCCCCCCCACCCCTGTTTGTTTTAGGAACGCTGTGTGGAGCTGCACTAAGGGACACAAAACTCACTGATGTCGTAGCGGAGTGTTTAGAGCGTAGGAACACTCCTTGTGAACTGCTCACTCAATGCTGTAGTAAATAAGGTTTTAGCCATACTCAAGTATGAATTCTCTTGTGCCTTAGTGTTGAGATCCTGTCCCGTTTCTATCGGTGTATCTCTTCTGTAGTCCTCACACAGCTCTGCTGCTGGTCTCGTCTCAAACTGCTGTGTTGTTTTGTTTCTGAAAGCAAACTTTGCTGCTCATTACTTGAACTTCAATATAGACCTGAAGTAGTTCTGTTACCAGCTGTTGTGTTTAGTTTTCATTTAGTTTGTATGTGATAGAAGGTGACTTTATAGCACTTACACATACCGAAAGCAAAAGTAGAAAAACTCTTCTGTGATGGGGTATTGCAATCCAAATTCTTTGGTTCCGTGCGTGCTCTGTTTGTGTCGATGTGCATCACTGGCGAATCACCCGCGGGCTTTTCTTTTGTGGAATAGTTTGCAGAGTATAAACTTGCTGTTAGAGAGTAAATATAGAAAGTATATGCAACCCCTGATAAAACGCAGTTTTGGCACTAATCATAATCCCCTCGAAAACTTGAGAGCGGTCAGGAAGCTGAAGGTCTGTGTTTCACCAGGCAGAAATACCTGTTTGTCATCCCTGCTCTGTTTGCTTTCTCACACGCGGCTGAGATTTCACACTGCTCTCTATTTATTTGCCTGTGTACTTGATAGAAGCAGCCTGACTGTATCCAGCACGGCAGCAATGGAAGGACAGCATCTTTCATTGTCACCGAAGGACAGTGCCACTTATTTATTTATTTATGTTGTCCCTAAGGAAGCTGACTGCTCAAAGACAAGGCAATCCCATTTTAAGAGCACTAAGACTGATTGCTTCTAGTGGTTTAGCTCAGTGAATTTAAACACAGAGTGAATTTGGCTCCAAGGTCTCAGGTCAGTCTTTTCTGTAGCCAGTTCTGCACAGAGTGGCACTGATTTTGTACATCACTGTCAGCCAGCCTGACCGTTTTGGTCTTCATTTGCCAGATGTGAAAATTAACTGTATAACGAATGGGCTTTGTACCACGTTGGCATTGACCTTAATAAATGAAGAGAATAATGAAAAAATGGCATTTAATGGTTCAAGAATTGCTTTATTCGCAAAGTGAACAGACCTGGTTGTAACGGTACTGCACTGCCTGCTGGAAAATGGGGAAACAAAAACAGTTATAACACTTGATTTCTGTTTATTGGAGATTTAGACTGCAGGATCATGGGATAATTCAGGCTAGAAGGAATCCCTGGGGGCCATCTAATTCAACCTCCTGTTCAAAGTCATGCATGGAAACTCACCGAGCAAAAAACGCTTTCATCGGGGCAGCCTCGTGTCTTTGTTTTTTATGAGTGATCTCTATTCGACCTCTCCATGAGCTGCCCTCATTCCCAAATCCCTCTCAGTTTGCCAATTCAAGCTACTTGATATTTTGTGCAGCCAGCGCTGTTCGTTGCTGTAATGCTGATGTAAGGAAACCGAGGACCGAATTTAATGGATGGATTTGTGTGTGTCTGTTTTCCCTAAGACATCTCCCACTCACTGATGGGCTGCAGCTACCTGCTAAAACAGCACCTCTTGTATCTCCTGCGGGGAAGTTATTTGTAGTCATCTCACATCTTGATGCATCTGCCTCTGTGGATTGCATTGCAGCAGCCTGCTGGGCAGAGGGTAGACAGGCAAGTGCAAAAGACGTAGAACAAGAACGTAAATCCTGCTGGAAGAAATTCTGTGATTCTCTAAAGGATTGTTTTTATCAGCGTTTTTCTCCCCATGCATTACAGATGAGTTATGGGAAACAATATCTCCTAGCTTCTCTTTCATTTTCAGGGGATTAAGGTTTAATTGGACACGTCTCGGTGTCTGGAACAGATAATCAGAGTATTCCCTATTTCATTTTATGTGGCATTAAGTAAAATGTCTGCCAACTCATTAATAACTGGTAGGCTTGTTTATTGTGTTGTTTGGGTTTTTTTTACTCACGAGTGTAGAAATTTCTTGTTGGCAATAATGGCCAAGATTACACGCATATAGACTCGAAATTAATTTGCCTTCTTTGATTGCACAGTTAAAGAAAGCTTTATCCAGTACTTGCAGCAATTCCCAAAGCATGCAGAGCATCACACGGAGCTGTAATCAATGTCCAGTCCAGGCAGCAGTAAAGCAGCAGCAGCACGCTGATTTATAGCTGCTGTGGCTCTTACATCCCCAATGCTCCAGGAAAACGTGGGGATAACTTCTAACCCCACTTCTGTGGGCAAACACGGTCTCCCTGTTGTTACTATAACAGGACTTGGGTATTAAAAATACATATGGTACTTTCCTAGCTGGTATTTTATTGTATTTATCTGGTAATTTCCAGTACAGCTATCAGGCCATCTCCATTTGAGCAGGATTTAAAATGGAAGGTTAATATGCTTGTTAACAGGTTTTTGGTTTTTTTTTTTTCCTTCTTGTCCTGTGCTAAATGTGAGGAAAACAGCTGCTTAAATTGAAGCTGCTCAAGCTCAGCCTGACCCCAGCTTTGAATCTTCTGGAAGGAGCAGTCTGAGCCTCGGGCAAAGAATCTGTTTAATTCCATTAGGATGCTTTTTGTGGTACATAAAAGGGGAGGGCTGCTTGGTTTTGTTTGAAGGTGCAAGTGAAAGCTGGTGTTTTGCTTCCATGGAGACTCGGAGTTGAACTTACCAGACTGCAGCTTGCTGCTCTGTTTCGCTGTAGGAAGGGAGCTGGAAAAACCAAGGTAACTGTGTCACGTTTCCTGTTGAAGGCTCAGTGCTATAGCAATGGCTCGGGTGCATTTTCTTGGAGTCAGCCTGAGCAATAGCAAAACAGAACCCGGCTGGCATTGCTTTCAGCAGTATCCGTTTGAAGGCCATCCAGAGCTCTGAGCATAGAAGGAAAGGTGTAAAGAAACCACAGATTTACCTTCCTTCAACGAAGGTGTTTTGTTTTTTGTCCTGGGGAAGCTGTGAGGAGAGAGAGAGAGGAAAAAAGATTTTGGCGGGAAGCGGCGTGTGGAGAAGGGCGGGATGGGAAAAGGACGGGGAAGGGCTGAGGGGGGGGCGGTTCAGCCGGGAAATGCTGGGGGAGGAGCGGGAACTGCGAGGAGGAAAGGAAAGGAGGAAAGGAGGAAAGGCTGAAGCTGAGCGCTGAGGGGGCAGCGGCCCGTTGTGCGGGTCTGCGTCCCACGGCCCAGCTCCTCGCATCCATCGCAACATCGGGCTGCCACCTAGTGCTGGGAAAGAAGCGAGCCCGGAGCCTCTGCTTTTCAGGAAAAAAAAAAAAACAAAAAACGACAGACTTGAAATTAATTACAAATAAGACCGGTTGACGTTATGAAACCTCAACATCCTCCACACGTTTCTCCATCCCAGCTGGAAAATCTTTCGTGAGCCTGTTTTCAAGGCCGCAAAGGCAAACACTGGAAACAGTGGAAACCGAGGTGCCACAGCTGCCACTCACGAGCCCCCATGTTTCTGCGAAGCTGAATCAGACAGAAAGAAAAGAGAGACACGTTACACAGAGCAACTCAATGCTGACAATCACGTTGCTGACTCCCGCAACTCTTTCCTAATCCCTGGTTTACCAGCTCTGTACGCAGCCGGACCACAGCTCAGTGCCTGGCGGCGCTCTGCCGCCGCACCCCCAGCCCCTCTCTATGGTGTTGGCGGCGCTCTGGCACAGCACTCCGCCCCCTCTCTATGGTGCGGGCGGTGTCGCCCGCTGCGCGGTTGGCCGCTGCGGGGCGGCGCTGCCCTGCTGACACGTCCCGGCTCCGCCCGCCGCCGCGCCGCGGCCGCCATTTTGTACGAGCCGCCGGCGGGGCAGCGCAGGCTTGGGAGCCGCGGGGAACGAGCTGGGCTCTTCCCTGCGCCGCCATGCCTTCTTCGCCGCTCCGTGTGGCCGTGGTGTGCTCGAGCAACCAGAACCGCAGCATGGAGGCACACAATATCCTCAGGTAACCAGGCCCTGCACGAACGCCTCCTTCAGGCCGGGGGCGGCGAGGCCTGGCCTGTCGCCGGGCCCCGCCGTCGGCCTCCCGAGCCTTGTCGGCCGCCTTCAGTCGCGGGTTACCCCTCGGCACCGCATCAGGGCCTCCGATCGGGGCTTCGGGGCCTTCCTCAGGCTCTGGGGACAGCGAGGAGCGGCTGCGGCTTAAGGCCGTGCTGAGGGCCTGTGCCAGAGCCCTCTGGCCCACAGCCTGGGGACTCCGTTCTTGTTTGTGTCCTCTTTTCTCCGGCCCCTCCTCCAGGTGGGTTCGCTGGAGCAGTCCCAGCGATGGGGCCCGCACCTGCCAGCGGATCGTCGGACCCAGAGCTGCCAAACTTGAGCTGGTGCACAGACGGGCACGGAACAGCTTCTGTATCTCGTCATCGTGAAGCTTAATTGCATTCCCCCTCCCCCCATATGTATGAAGTCTGAAGCTACAGTAGATACTGAAAGGGAGTGTTTGCCCTGTGCAGGAAAACTGCATGAAGTATTTGATTCAGGATGTTGGACGTCTGAGTTTGTAAGAGTTTGTTTATTTAGCACGAAGAAGACTTTCAGGTTGGCTGAGTTCAAAAGGGGGCGATGGGAGGCAGAGATGACTGTTGGGCAGACCTGATCTGCCACAAGCTGTTTCTGAACCTTTCCTGTGCAACACAGGGACACGATTAAGGCCTTTTTTTTCTTTATTAAAGATATGTAAAGTTAGTATTCACATAAGGTGCCTTTTACTAGCACAGTCACTCAAGCAACGAAGTGTAAGTTATGTGGTACGTTTACAACCATGGAAGGAATAAATAATGGAAATACCTGGTCTGACAGCCATCTTACTGTGAGCATATGACGCTGTTAGTGTATGTGCTTGCATCATGTGTTACTTGAAGCAGTTCAGTGAAAACACAACATGACCAAAATGTGTTTTGATGAGTAATGGGGAACGGGTGGTGGTTTTTCTGTTGATAATCTTCTAACTGCATTGTCTGAATTGAATATTAACCAAAAGCTAAGTCCTCAAGGTGCAGGAGAGTTAATTTTTAATATTGAGCCTTTTTATTCCTCTCTGTTTTTACATAAAAAATGAGTCCCTTCCGTTGTGACTGATAATCTTGTGGCACATACTGCAGGGAAATGCTTTTTGGAAGCATCTTCTCCTTTAAGATTGTAATTAGGAAAAATAAAACGTCATTTTGTGGAGGCTCATGAGCAGTAACATCTCATGTAATTAGGATTAGCAAGAAAGGCATAAAGGGCAAAACAGCTGAACAGCTGATCTTGTTCTAAAGAAACAATTGGTCGTGCAGTGAGAACAGTCATTTGCCTTTAAACCTCAGAAGAAAAGTTTGCATTGGCTCCAACTCAATCTCTTGCATGTAAGGCAGTCTCTCAGTGCTGCTGTGTGTTGCACTGCACTTCTGAGAAAGCACGTGACTAAAAGAGGAAGAACAGTTGGGAAGAGTATTTAAAACAAAGGAGGTTTGTTATTGTAACTTCAAGGTAATTTGTGGAGGAATTGGGAAACTTGAAAGAACAGAAATACAGAAGAACCACAGGTGGCTGAAAACAAAGTCTGGAGTCCAGCCTTCAGTGTTGGCCCGTGGTCTCACAGCACTATCCTATGTGTTCTTTTTTATTAATATTTATGCTGGGTAATGTACCACAAAGAATATTTTTTGAGGTGTTCATCATGGTCGGTGAGTCTGACCTACATTGCTGCAGACATTTAGGATTCAGAACTAACTTCTCCAGTTCAGTGTGTTCATGAATTACGGTGTTTTCTTTCAGTCGCATTTTTGGGGTAGAAGTTACCTGAGTAATTGTCCTTATTCCAACATTCAATCTGTAGAGAAAAAACATCTGTATCAGTTGGCAAGGTGAGCTGTAAGGCCTGCCTAATGCTTACTAGAACTTGAACCTACCAGTTTGGCACTTGCTTTTACAGCAGAAACAATCTCAGAACTGTGTGCACGTCCTGCTGTTCTCTCATTGGGCTCAACGAAACAATATAATTAACCTTCATGCTTTGTACACCTCAGCAGTTTAACTTTGTGCTTTGTTCTTTTTTTAGCACCATTCCATATAATAAGAATTACTTTTTTTTTTTAATATAAACTTACTGTTCTGCTCAGCTGCAGTGGTTCATCCCAGAGGGTTTGCCATATCCCTGGCTTCTCAGATTGAATTTTGTGTTCATCCTTACTGCACTAAATACCTCTGTGCTATAGCTTGTACCTTTGAAAGGCAAATGTCTTTATGTATCTTTGTCACACTGAGTAATCCACCAGTTTCAGGGGTAACCTTGGTTCAGCCCAAGCTCCCATTTGCTTGGTGGTATTTCCTTTTATTTGTTTGTTTGGTTTTTTTAATACAGACCAGCTTTTAAACACTTTATTGTTCTAATCTTTCAGCAGGTGTCTTTAAAGTCAATACAGTTACCATCAGCACTGCTTAATGTTGAGACATTGAAACTGAGCTGAGAGGCAGAACAGTAAGGGCTATGCAGGGAGATGGAATCCTTCCCTAAAAGCTGTCAAACTGGATTTCAGTGTATAATCAATCCATGGTTCAGCTCTTACTCATCCTGGGAGTTTTGCTTTTACAGATATGACTTGTGCTTGACTCTTTTCCCCCACAGAATACACAGGCTTAGGCCATGATTCTCCTTCTAACTCTGAAGAGGAAGGTAGAAGGGTTACACTTAGCAGCAGGCCTTGTTAGGCAACTTCTGCATTTCCATTTGTGTATATTTGGTTGCACAGAGTTGGCCTTGAAAAAGAAATCATCGTTTCAGGCTCCTCAGCATATAGCAGGTGCTCTTACCAGAGCTTTGTGGTTGCAGGGCTTTATGGCACAGATATCCTGTCTCTGTCTCCATGCTTCAGTTTCTCTTTGTTATTCTGGCAGTGGAAGCTGGTAGGGTGTTTGTATGCACTTCAGTCCTCTTATTTTTTGGGAACTAAGTGCCCTAAGAACCTAAGGATATGAGTGTGAAATATCTCAGTAAACTCCTACAGGTTGCAACCCCAGCAGCCTGAACTTAAATTTCATGTTAGTGATGTGATTTATGGTTCAGCATTTTCCAAGTAGAAGAGCTTGAGTTACACCCTTGCAGTGCAGTGAAGGAGGTCAGTCATAACTCCTGCACTGAAACCTGTCAGCAGCCAAGTGCTGCCAAATGGGTATTGGAACTTGCGTCATTTAATTGAAGGAGTCTTGAATTGCCTCGTTAAATCCTTCAGAGGGAGGAAGTGCTTCAACACAGCACTTGAATTTGACAGCTTATCACTGATCAGTAAAGTAGGTGTTGCAGTACAGCGAGTTGTTGATGTTTTCAAGATTTTTGTCATCAAAATCAGTTAACAGTGCTTCCATTCCTGCTGTGTAATGGTGTGATTTTTATTTCTTTTAATTGCTTGAATGGCACAAGGTATTTTTCAAGTGATTTAGGAGGAGGACCCTTGCTAATTATTCTCCTTCTGGTAAAACTGAATAAAGTCATTATTTTTCACTTTTTTTTTCCTGGGTAGTTTTGCTACAGCAAAACCAACTGCTGTTTTGTAGAAGGTAATCATTGTTAAAAGGCCGAGCAACAGAAGAATAAAGACTTGATGATTCCCTAACCTAGATCTGTGCAGCTGCTCAACAAAAGCAGACTGTTGAGTAATGTGTGAGTGCAGGCAGCGTCATCGTCTTCCCCTCCCCTGTGTTGCAAGAAGAATGTTGAAACCTGCTCCAAATATGTCGTAACAGTCCACTGAATGCATAACTAATGTAAAAGCTGTGTGCTGGCAAGTGCCAGTGACGTAGCATGGAGTTATTCCAGGTGAGGTGTGCATTCCACCTCTCAGTGTTGAGCTTCGGATGCTTGAAGCCTCGATGAAGATTTGCTTTGATTGATAGGAGATGATGTGAGCTTCAGGAGCACTGCTGGCAGTTGGAGGTGAACTTCGTAATGTGTGTGACCAAAGTAGACCTATTTCAGAGCTTAATATTAAGGAAAAATTAGGAGGAAAGAAGACTGCAGATTTCCTAGTTGGTTTTTACACCCTTCTCTGTGTTTGGTGTCTGTTAATTCACTGAAATTCTAGGTGTGATCCTTGAAATGACAGAGGTTAAGCCATGGTCTTGACCTGGTTTAGAAGTCTAAAGCCAGAAGTTGCAGCCTTCTGGCCAGTAGTGACAGTGTTCTGCCATGTGATTTTCTCCGTTGGGCCGTATAGAACAACTCATCTCCATTATCCAAGAAAACAGATTGTAGTGCTGCTTAATGTTAACGTGGTTTGCTTAGGTGCATTTAGGCTAATTGGGGGAAAAACAACCCGACAAAACACAACACTATGGCATTACCTCCAAGACAGGCAGATTCCTGGCTCTTTCTGTTGAATTTTAGCTATTAAATATGTAGTTCTTCATAAGAATGGAATGAAGCTGTGCCTGGCTTAGCCAAGAGTTCTAGGTGCAAGCCAGCAAAATAGCTGTTCCACTTTGAAAGGTAATTACAGTGTGTTTCTCAGTCCACTTTAGAGATGCACCAGATACTGAAATGTTTGTAGGAAGCCAATTAAGGTATAATAGAGGTTTGGCAAAATAGAGAAGAACCATGGCTAAGTCAGCAGCTTTAGCAGAGTAGGTAAATATTTACCATTTGCTAATGTTTATTTCTTACTGCCCAAAATCGAGTAGAGTTCATGTGTTGCCAATCTAAAATATCTGAAAGCACACACAAAAATAAAAGGTGAAACGGTGTATGCATTAATTCTAAGAAAAAATACTGCAAAATGTGGCCACTGTTTGAGAAATGGTGTGCAAGTCTTGATTGTAACTGCAAGGAAATGCTTGTCTTGGGTCTCTGCCCCCAAGACTTTCCAATAACTAGAAAGAACTTGCTTAGGCAAGACTTGTGTGTTGGATCTCATGATGCAGATAACATCTGCTGGTAAAGTAGAACAATACTGTGTCTGGAAAAACAAACTTGCATTATAGAGTTAAGTAAGTAAATAACCACAAAGTTACCTTAGAAACCCTGCCTCCCTTTTTTTTTTTCTTTCACTGGTTATTGATTTGTTTTTGCTTTGAAGAACTGATGAATTTTTGCACTGATTCTGTGCTACAGTGGTGGAATGTGCTTGGATCCCTTTTCTCAGCTATAAAACCAATTAGCAGGGAGGAGGGAAAACCTCCATGGGTTGGGAGTTTATTTCCTGTACACTAAAGCAGTACACCTCAATCCCATGGGATTATCTTCCTCCATGTGTAGATGATGAAGTTCAGAAAGAGAATAAAAGAGGTGTTTGTTGGGGTAGGTGTGTCTGGAGATAACTGACTTCTATCAGCTGAATCACAAATCATTCCAAGGATGGTTGGTAGCAGAGCTGAGTGTAGCTGGCTTTGCTAAAGATCTTCAACTGTATGAAGGCTCTGTTCCTTCTGGCTGTAATCCTGTAGGAATGTCTGGGGTTTCTTTTAGTCACTGTTCATGGCCCTGTGTCTCTGTTTTAGTGCATGTTTTTTGAGGGGAGGAAAAGACACAAAAAAGCCTAGAAATTAATGAGTTGCTCCTATTAGCATTCTTTATTTTGGAGTAAGATAGGTTTTGGGTAACAGTTGTAGGTTAACTCAAGTTCTGTGCAAGTGATACTGAGATGGGATTTTTGTGTGTGCTGCTTCTCTTCAGGCCTCTGCCCACTTTTCTGCTGCGTTGTGAATCCAAGAACGTTGTAAACATAGTTGTAAATGTTGAAATATATTTGGACTATTGACTGTACTTCAGTGTTTAAAACTCATCCAGTCTAATTAATGCTTCCCTCCCCTCCCTCACTGTCTTTCAGCAAACGAGGATTCAGCGTCCGATCCTTTGGAACAGGAACTCACGTGAAACTGCCAGGACCAGCACCAGACAAACCAAATGTTTATGATTTCAAAACAACATATGATCAGATGTACAATGATCTGCTTAGGAAAGACAAAGAACTGTATCCCTATGGCATGGCCTTAAAAAAAAAAAAAAAAAATCCAATATGGTTCTCCTCAAAAGGTGTAGTTCATTATTTGGCATTATGCATCAGGAATATGTAGTTACTTAACTGACAAGCTTAGATGTTTTGAGTTGGTAGGAGGTTTTTTTGGAAGGGCCTCTAATGCTCCCTTCTAAATTGAGTTACAATGTACTCATTCAGAGCTCTTTTGTAGCACGTTAACATGTTTACCTCCTGGAGGAAAGCACACTCATCTGTCACAGGTTGTCCATTACTCCACAGCACTGTGGGTCGTGTTTCCCAGTGCAGGAACTGTTCCTGGTAACGGTCACGCCAAGAGCTGCTGCCTCAAGATTAAAATAGTGTTTAGTTCAAACTGACAGGTAAGGTTTACAATATACTTTCTGTGGGAGAGAAGATACTTGTCATTAAAGAACTCACTCTTCTCAACAAGAGCTACTTGATATGATCTATGCACCAAAGATTCCTACAGTATATTTTAAAGAATGGACATAGGAAAGCACAGTAACATACTTAATCCTGGGGAGCAGAGGAGATCAGGGTTATGCACACTACTTAGTTTGATTTTAAAACTTGTTGGTTTTTTTTTTATTATTATTATTTTTTACAAGAAGAAAGCCCATGTGATTACTTTGCACAATCAGGACACTTGTTCTAAGTACTCTTTTTTTTTTTTTTTCCTCTCTCAACAAAGGAGCTGTTTGGGGTTTTTTAAATTACTTTTTAAATATGAAAGAGGGAACTTACCATAGAGAAACTATCCACACACTGAATTTCTGCTGGAGAAATAGAACCTTCAGAAATGCCTGTTAAAAAAGGTTGAGCTGTTTGGTAAAGCTGTACAGCACAGTGAGTACTGTTTATACCTTGGAATATCTTTCTCCATAGTGCTCCACACAGATTATGTCCATTGCAGGGAATATTGCTTCTCTAATACTTAGTGGCTCTTTTTTCAAGAAATACTTTCTTAAATGTCTTTTTTTTCCCAAGTAACAGGAATAATAATCATTTTCAAATGCAGGACATAGTCTCAATGCATCATGTGTATAATATGCATTTTTTGTATCCCTCTGCTGATACAAGGGAAATCTTGCAAACGCATCTTACAGAGGTATGCCACATCTTGATTAAAAATGAGTTGTTTCAAAAGAAAAGTACCTGAATTGAGCCATAATTTTTCTCAGCACCTCCTTGCATTCTTTGCTGCTGCTGCACTGAATGTCTGAATATGGCACTGCTGTAAGAAAACCAGTCTGGTCTCTATTCAGCATATTTTGGAGCTGCCACATTTGTTTGGCTCTGTGCTGGAGATGATTGCTGTGCTCCCCAGCCTTACATTTAAAACTTTTCTGAAGAGAAAAGGAAGCAAGTTTAAACAACAACCATTGAAAGAGGGCATAAACAATTCCCTCTGTATCTTTGCACGTTTCTCAGATGCTGTAATATGAAGCTTTTAGAACAAAGGCAGTCAGTGCAGGAAGCACATGCACTTCCAAAAGTGGGTTTTGAGGGGGTAAAGACTTCCACAATAACCCAGACCAGGCACATTCTTGTCGTAGAGCTGTGGAGTAGTTTTTTTGTGAAAGTATCATATGGATTCTCAGTTAAAGTAGATTTTTGTTCTCACTGGATCATAGGGCTGAGAGGCATGCACACATAGGCTGCGGTAGGTGGGGAGGGCCTGCCCTTCTGAAGGGCTTGGGGCGTAATTGATACGGGAAGACTAATGTGTCGTTCCTAGAGCTTAGTTCACCCTGTTCCCCAACCTGCCATGTGTTTTGAAATGCTATGTCTCTGCCAGCTTGTTCCCATATTCCCATAATGGGGCACGAATTTGTGTGTTGCCTCATCTGGGAGTGATTTCCTTCCTCCAGTTCTGTAGGCCAGCAGGGATCCAAAGCATTAAGGACACCAGATGCTCAGTGAAATTGTGGCTGCAAGGGAACTTGGCACGTTGGCCAGACAAGGAAATGGCCCCTTGTTTCAGAAGGCTCTGATCTCAACCAGGAATGAGCTTCTGCAGTGCTGGACATCAGTCAGAGGAAGGTTTAAAAAGAACAAAAGTAAGAATGGATAAGAGTGAATAAAGATCACTGGAACTCTTACTAGTCACTTGGGGAAAGGAGGGAGAGCAGAACTCTCAAAAACACACTGTAGAGAGTAAAAGCACTGAGTCAAACCTGGAGCACAAGCTTGCATACCTAGAAGGCAAGGCACGTGCTGAGTTCAGAAGCGTGGGGATGAGGGATTAATGGAGCCAGGCATACGTGTTCGGTTGAGTAGGTGGTTGATTTATATATAGATAGAATGGAAGCAGGCCAGAACATTTTAAGATGTGGCAGTTGAACCTTACGGTTAAAGTAAGCGTTCCGTTCTACCGTTGCATTTTTAGAACATTGGTTTTAAACTTCCTGTACCCCAGGAAGGGGGGGCTGCAGCAGAGCTGTGCAGAGCTGTTCTGAGTAGTTTTTGAATGCTTAATACTCTTCATTTTGGGAAAAGAGTGAAGGGTTCTGCTGCTGATCGGTAGGAGATACCGTTGTCTGGGGTACATGCGTTGGTTTATGCGTGGGTAGTGTTGTGCTGCCTTGTATTTGCTTGTGTAACTGGACATCTCAGATAGGCCAGTGTGATTACTTGCCATTACAGCTCTGTGAAGGGATTTTAGAACTTATAGTTGTGATGGTGACTAGAAAGACAAAAGGAAAATGGAGGAAAATTGATGAGCTTTGCCATCAAGGGGAAGCAAGAGGATGAAACTTTCCAAAAGCCAAAATAAACATGCAACAGCAATTGCTTTTATGCCCAGGGGTAGGAACCATTCAAATGGGAACTTGATCAAAATTTGGCAGCAGTAGCTCCTGGGGCCTTTATTAGTGTTAACTAACTCCATGATTGACTGTTTTTTTTTCCTTTTTCTAAGTACTAAGAAGAAATGCAATTATTTCCTAATATATACCTATTTTAATATTGTTAGGATTTCTAGGCAGCTTGCATGATGTGACCTGTTCCTCTTTCCCATTTTTTTCTAATGTCCTCTTTTAATTTAACCAACTTCCTGACTGTAGATAGAATTCCAGTTCTCTCCATTGTAATGCAATACCGAATCAGGAGGGGATTTAAAAAAAGAAAGAACAACAACAACAAACAGCAAACCAAACACATACTTGGAAAAAATGTTGGGAATCAAGCACAAAAGCTGGTTTGGTGCCTCTCAGTCAAAGAGATAGGATTCTTTTCTGACCCAAAAATTCAAAACTGTTAGTATTACAGGTGAATGGGATGTAGATTTTTCTCTTTGAACTCTATGATCGGGGTGGCCATACAGTATTTCTTGTGCTATTGCTGAGTTTTCTTTGGTTTATAGTAGCCTTCCCATTCATAACAAGTGGAAACAGTTTCTCTTGTCATATGCAAACTGCTTTGCCAGCAAATATTCGTAGCACTGTAGACTCCACTTAGCGACCCTTAACCCTGCTTTATCCTGCAGTCTTCTGCCTGCTTTGCTCTTTGCTGTCTCAGCTGTTAAGGTGCATTGTAGAAGAACATCAGTGGAGGAGAATGTGGGGGCTCTGAAGCAAGCAGAGGCAATTCCAGAACTGGGGAAAAATCAGAAAAAAATCTGAAGCAGGTTCAAGTATGCATGAGATTTTCACAGGGAGCAACTGAAGAAAACTGGAATCTCTGTTTCCTGCTGGACTGTGAGGAATACCAGTGGAATTGTATTACTGAACTAATTGGTGCTGCTCTGGAACTGTACAGGTGTAGGATTCTGTGCCTTTCCCAAAACGTTCAGTTCTCCAGTGCCTGTGGAGAGAAATAAGCACAGTGGCAGAGGGCTGTGTCCAGCTGAGAAGAGAGCATCCAGGAGTGGTGAGGATATAGCAAGGAACCATTTTTCTCTCTGCAGAGAGGTAATGAAGGGCAGTGCTTTAAAACTGCAGTCATAGTGAGATGTTGCTGTATGAGGCATCTCTGGCAAAAAAAACAAATCTGCATTCCTCTCTTGGAGTCGAGTGTAGTGAAATCCAGTACTGGAAGCCAGATTTTTGGGAAGGCTTTCTCTGTACTCCCTTCATAGCAGTATGGAAGAAGGCAGTAAGTTTCTCGTGCAGATGATTGCAGCTCTATTGAAAGTTATTTGGCCTCAGTCACAACTGCTGAGCTCAGTGTTGTATCCTGCATGCATAGTGTGGGTGCGTTGCTGGGGGCTGTTCAGAGCAAGGAGTAAATTGCTGAGTGGTCCAGGTTCATAGCACCTTACAGATAAATGGGCTGTGTTTCTCTGTTCAGCCTACTTCAGTTGAGAAGTAAAATTGAAAAATAGTGTCTTAAGATACCTGATGAACGAAGGATCTGTAAGTATGTACTGGCCCAGGATTACATTGCCACCTTTTCTGAGTCAGTTGCAGTCAGTAGGTCTGTTCCAGCCTTGGCCTTAGTCCTTTAGAATACTCAACTTGTATAGCCAGGTTGTAGAGAATTCTTGCTCTTGAAATGATCAGTTTGCTCCAATGCATCTTAATGCTGGAGTAAGCTGGTATGGAGAAGCTAGTTAGTAAGGAGCAGCTTCATTCTACTTTCCTAGCCTGGTAAGTAAGAGAACAGCTGTTAGACTTGTGATAAAGTTTATTGAAAACATAAAGCAGATTTTTTTTCTGCACTGCAAATCAATCTGGACTTTTATTTTCTGGGGCTTCAGTATCACAGGATACCTTGAATCTCACTGCTTGGCTGTGTTTTCCCAATTGATACTTTTCTACCCTTTCCAGTGTACATCTGTGGCTTTGACTAATTCAGATTCACGTAGTTTAAACCCACTCTTCCTGGAGTAACTTGTCCTGTCTCATCTTCAGTCACTTTTTTACCATTGGTCTAGATAGATGATCGTAGTGATTTTTCCCACCTTTATGATTCCGTGACCTTTTTCTGACATTAGATAACCATTTTCCTCTTTTATTCAACTCCTTCTCTGA